ATTGACTTAGTTTTAGAAAAAAAGCACCAAAAAGCCCGGCTGACCCGCCCTATCTATACAGATGCTGCAGAGCTGGGTCGAAGTAACATGCTGCCTCCTGCAGTAAAGCACCAGGCGTTTTCATTTTATTTTTTAAATGTCTGCAAGCAACCTAAAGGTTTAAGTCTATGGTAAAGTCCATTTTATTGTATGGAGCATTCATGAGAAGAATGATTAACCCAAATCATTTGTCATCTTGTTTTTTTGAGGAAATGAGAGGAAAATGGGTCTCCATTAAAGGGAAAATTTAAATACTGGGCTAATGAAGCAAAAACAATATGGCTGTTTCCTAACACTTTGGAGCCTTTCCTATACTCCTTAGCTATATCTGCATTACTTGCACAAAGAATAAAGGCCAAAAATCAAGCAGATCCTCATGGTTTGTTTTAACATTGACTACTTTGTTCATTTTTGTTTTCATATCATCATACACTATGTTGTGTTGATTTTGTTTAAATTGATAGACGGTATAATCTTACTGTATGGTTTTTTTTAAAGTTATAAATTATACAAAATGTTGTTTTATTATGTATAGCTGTTATTGCTCATTGTATTGTATTGCTTTGGGAAAAAGCTGTAAATAAACTACTACTGCTGCCAATTTTCTTCCCAGCTATTTTTGCTGCTGCAGTTATAAACCCAAACTTGTTGCACAGCACTGATAGTGATTGAAGTAGCATCTAAACAAGATGCAAGCAGCTGACTGATTTATTGATTGAATTGACTAACACTGTGAACAGTAAGGTAATTGTTCTGTAGTGAAGCGTAATGAGGTCCAAACAGCTGAATACGCTTGGTATGCTTAACACAGCACAAGTGATACCTTTTTCAGTAGTGTACAAGCATAGGCAACCACCAGCTAAGGTGCCAGAGCATAACATGCAAAGGCATTTTGCTTAGCACGCATGCCTCGGGCGGACCATGGGGAACGGGCTAGGGCTGCACTGCCACAAGGATCAGGCCGCTTGCAGCTCCCCAACTGTCCACCCCTGCTACACTAACATGTTATAAGTCAAGATTAAGGGTGTTTTTGGCACCCTGCCCAAGAATATTGCCAACCCCTGATCTATAGAGATGGCAGCCAGTAGGAGGTATACATGAAAACTGCATTATAAAAATGCAATGAACAAATTACTTTATAAAGTGTTTGATACAGAAATAAGCAAGTTCATCAAAACAGAATTTCTATTTAAACGCTAAACAAAAGGAAGTTGTTATTTGTAATTAGCGACCTGACCCAATGGTTTCTAGACTTCGGACACTGAAAGATTACAGAAGTCCTCTCTTACACCTTGTTTATATTCATAGATTAAAAGAAAAAGGCAGCTTTTCCATTTTCTCAGTTCCAAGCCTATTTCTCAAGTAGTCAAATACACAAGGAAGTATTCACTTTGTACCTTCAGAAAAGGTCACAGCTGTGAGAACCATATAAATGAACCTAGTGCCAGATGCTTAGCTAGCAAGCTCCACCAGTTCAGTGGCTGGAGAAAGAATTTGACAGCAAATATACTAATATTCCTACTTTTAATCTTTAGATGGGTTGTGTCAAATTCTAGACTTAGTGTAGGTTCTCAGTTTCAAAGTAGGTCTTTGTATCCAATCCTGACATGAGGAACTTGAAACAAGTAAGTTACTTTCATATTGCAGGTAAAGGACATTTTCTGTAGTGGACACTGGATGATACTCACAGCCAGTAAGAAAAACAAAAGAAGGCTAAGAGAAAAAAAAAATAATAAGGAAAGGGAACAGCAACAAAAACGGATGTGAACTGTGGACCGAAGAAAGTGTAGCAAAGTAGTAAGTGCGAAATAGAAGTGAAAGAGCAATTTGGTAATAAAAACATCATGAATTCTCATGACAAAAGGAACAAGTTTATTCATCAAGCTACCACCAACAGAATGCATGTCAAGATTTCCCATTCAGAACACAAGAAGTTCGGTCATCATGTTTTCCCTCCCCTCCATTCTCAGGCTGAAAACATCAGTGGGTTTCTAGGATGGGTCTTCAAGGCTAGATCTAGAAGATCTATCCAAGCTTTACAGAAGACTTATTTGCATGAACTGTGACACCCCTGTCATCTGGTATGAGCTCCTTTAAATAGGTTATGGCACAAGAACAATTTGTTTTATACCACATCTTCTACAATTCAACAGAACACTATTAGGCAGTACAGTAAAGTGTTACCAAACATTTTAACATAGATTTAAAACTGGACAATCAGTAGACTGTTCAACATGCTTAACCTGGTACCTGCCATCTCAGTTTCCTCACGTACTCCACCAAGATCAACTGACTGCATCCCAGACAACTGTGCAGCCCAAGATAACTGCCACAGCTGAACTCTAGAGTGAAAGCAGTAGTCAGTGAAGCAAATAAACCATTTTTTCCATATCACAGTATTTACAAGAAACATGAGGCAGTGGCCAGTTTTAATCTGCAGTTTTAGACTGACTGCAATAACAACACAATAAATAAAAGCACTGTTAAGTGAAGATCAGACATGTTTGGCAACCAAAAAAATAAGTGAGTGACTAAACTGTGGTCCAGACCACACTACCTGTTACCATATACCTTGTAGGAGCAAGAAGACACAGAGAGAGGAAGCTCAGAACAGAAGCCAGACCACTAAACATCCTTGTAACTTGTCCTCTTGAAGACTGGCCTTGCATCATTTAAGAGCTCCCACATACCAGTAAGCAGTGACCCTGGAACAGTAACAGCTATGCGCAAAGAGGGTCTCCAAAGAAAAAAATAACTCTTCATTGGCAGACATCTTTGACTTACACCTCCAAGTAAATATCCAATTAGCCAGAGGCTGCTATCAAATGACAGGGAAGCGGAAGAAAACACCTAGCTTCTTCTACCCAGCTGATGGATAAAAACAGAGATACTAGGCTTTTTCATCAAAGTGCTGTCCACAGACCCTGCTAAGCCCATTTCTCCCTAGACAAAATCCAACCATCAAGTCTTTTCCTTCTCCCTGCCTACGCCTCAGAAGCAGACCTCCCCTACCCAAGGCATTTCCTTTTTGCCATTATCCTCCCAGTGACTTCCCCACCTCAAAGAAAGTTACTGAGGCATCATAATAATCCTAATATCATTGGGGACATGCGAATGCTCCATTTTTACCAGACACACACCTCAGCAATCCTTGACACCCCTACCTTTTTATGGGACTTTCACTGCTCTTCTATGTTACTTTCCAGGCAGCCCCTTTACTCTTGTACCAGCTACCAAACAATTTGTTTTCTCTTTTTTCCCAACCTCATTTTATGCAAATTAAGGATTGGGGCCCCATTTCTCTTGTTCCCCAGAGTATGAGCTTCAGTGAGCAGCTCAGAAGCTTGTTCTGACAATCCCCTTCTATTTTGGAAAACAGAACTGGGGGGGGGGGGGGAAAGAAATCAAAAAAGAAAAGGAGTTATTAAACCCTCATATACAGAAGTGTGTGGGGGAGGGCATTTTCTGTTTTGAAAAAAAAGAAAGAAAGAAACTTATTCCTAATCAAACAAAAAAAAGTCACCTTTGAAATTCGCTGACAGTTCATCCCTGAACCAGATAGAGAAATGCCTGCCCCCTCCAATACTGGGGTACCTTTATGCTTCAAGTATAATGCAAGCAGACAACACACAGTGTTACAGCAAGTTGTTCTCCATACCTTTAAAGGTGAAAAAGCCTATCCAAGAAAAGACTCTGCAGTGGGGAACTGCTGCCTGATTCCAGCTGTGATGGGACTTTCGAGTTTAACAAAAGACCAACCTAACAAGTGAGACTTAAAGCTCTTCTTTTAAGAGCATCACGTGGGTGATTTTTGGCAATTATACAAGCAATGCAATTCACCTTTCCTAGTGAGAGTAGCTCACCAAATGCCCCTCCTCCACAAGCCTCTCTTGACTGATTAACAACAAGGTTATCATCAACTTGGCCATAACCTACGCACCAGGGCACATGACTACAATATCATTCACAGGAGCCTGCCCTTTTCCCTTAGCATGGGGCAAAGGAAAGGAACCAGTTTTCCAGAAATAGTTTAATTCATTGTCATGAGTTGAAAAGCACGTGAGTGCCACGCTTGCTCAGGCAGGAAGGCCACTTTTGCAAGTCACTTTAAAGAAACAAAGGTGCATTACTGAAATGGAAAGAGAGGTCGTTAGTTCGCTACGCAATTCTCCCGTCTCGTTCCCATCCAGGGGCTTTTAAACGCAGCGCAGCAGCCCCGGCGCTTCCCTCGGGCCGCTCATCCCGCTTCAGTCTCCTGCACAACCCGGCGCTCAGGAGCTCGCAGGGGCTCCGGCTGCGCCAGGCCGGCGGCTCCCGCCGCCCGCAGGAGAGCCCGCTCCCCGCTGCACCTACCCCGCACAGCCGAGTTGCCGCTCAGCCCCATGGCTGCGCCGCCCGCCTGTCTGGAGGACACCAGAGCTGCTCAGCAACAGGCGCGCACGCGCGGGGCCCAAAGACGCTCTGGGGGGCGTGGCCGCGCCGCTCTTAAAGGGGCCGCGCGGCGCTGCCGCTTGCGCTGACACGCCCCTCGCGCGACCTCGATGACAAGCTCCCGGCAGCTGCCTCCTCGGGTTTCTCGCCTCGTGGAGGCGTTTGGCCCTCGGGAGCTTCCGTCACGGGCCCAGCGAAGGTAGGGCAGGCAGCAGCGACGAGGTTTGACGTCATCCCTCGCGGCCTTTGGCCCGTGTAACGTCACACTGCGGGGCCGCTCCCTGCGCTTGCCACGCCCAGCTCGGCCCGGCCTGGCCCTGCGCGGTGGCGGGTTTAAGCCGAAGCAAATCCGCGCAGCCACCGAGGGTGGCGGGTAGCAGTCTCTCCCCTGCGTTTGTGCCGGCTGCAGCGCCTGGCCCGGACTTGGGCGGATGGCCGCTAGCACTGGGACAGCCCTGGGTCCGGTTGCCAACTTCCCAGAATTCCCCTGGAGACTCCAGGAATTAAATATAACTCCAGGAGACTGCTGAGGGTCACCCAGGAGACGAAGAGAGAGCAGTCATTAAAGTAAATAGTAAATGTTGAATCAGATTTATCCAGTAGTCCAGTGGGATTTTAAAATGTAATAGTCATGTCGCATTCCTGACGTAAAATCTAGATGCTGTAATCCATAACTGATATACGCAAGCACGCTGGCCTGTTCACGCTGTGTGGCGGGCACATTGGCGTTCCAGAAACCCAGAAGAGATTCAGACAGTTGGCAGCCCTAGCCCTGGGGCGGGGATGGAGCTGGACGAGCTTGCGATGCTAAGCATCCTTCCTCAGGCCAGCTCTGCTCAGTAACATTGCAGTGTCCCGGCCTCGTTGCCAGTGTGGTGGTCCTCAGAGCTCCCAGTTTGCTCCTGTTTGAGATAAACCGCAGGCTTCACACATGCTGCCCCTCAGGAAGTCTGGTTGGCAGAGCCTCACCTGAGTGTTCCCCTGGCTTGAAGCAAAGCACTGCATCCTTCACTGGCCATGTCCAAGGGTTTTGATTTTTGACCTAAAACATAAGAAATGCCGTTTACTGGGGCAGACCATAGGTCCATGTCACCCAGTCTCCTGTCACATGAGTCCGGTGCCACACAGGGGTCCAGTGTACTCTGCTCAGTGTCCCCCCTTCATGCACGTGTAATTATAGTGCACAGGAGCAGCCTTGCTGCACGTATATAGGCACCCTTAGGTCAGGCTCCCTCTACACGGGTATTAACAGGTTAATTATGCAATTACCTTAAGGCACTCTACATGCACAAAGTAGCTAGTGCAGGAAAAAGCTCCAACCAGGGTTGCCAACTGTCTGAATCTATTTTGGGAGGTTTCTGGAACACCAATGTGCCCACCACACAGCACGAATGGGCCTGCATTGCTTGTGTATATCAGTTATGGATTACAGCATGTGGATTTTACATCAGGAAGGCGACATGACTTACATTTTAAAATCCCACTGGAGCACTTGAAAATGTGTATTAGCATCATGGTTGCTACTGAGTTTCAATCTGCATGTGTAGCAGGGTCTCCCCGGCAGCTGGGAGCCCCATCAGCTGACAGGGCTCCCAGCCACAGGGTGCATCATGTCTACCACAAAACCACCAGGGCCAGGGAATCATGACAGCCTGATCCCCAAGGCTCAAGGATGCATGAAACCCACAGGCCCACGTGTCAGCTGCAGGACTCTCAGTCCCAGCTGCCTGTATGGTGCAGCTGGGACTGAGAGCCCTGTCAGGAGTGGGATTCTTGGTCCCAACTGCACGTGGCCCCCTTGACTGGGAGCCCCCTCAGGAAAGGAGGCTCCCAGCCATAGCAGCCTGCTTTTAGCTGATGCAGGGGGGGCCCAGGATCATGCATTAGATCCAATCACGCCCTTCCCTGCATGTGCAGAAGGGGCCTTACAGTACAGTAAACTTTCCCAGTGCATCTCTATAACTGACTATCCCTTTCTATTCATGAGTATTTTGTCACTAGGCTTTTAAAAATCTCTTTTAGTTAGCTTCAATGATCCCCTCTACCAGCCGCATGTCTTTTCCATTCAGAGGCCTCCAAACTTTGTCTTAAAGTGCCCAGCTTGAAAAAACTCAGGCTTCATTATGAAGTTATGCAGACACACCATCCCCAATTCTGTGCTACTGACAGGCAGTTTGACTTCTATTTTAAGTTACTAAACATTTAGAACAAATTAAAAGAGATGGCAAAACCAAAAACTATACCACAAGGGGCTCAGTTGTTATCTTGTTAATTTTTCTCTTGCTACCACTGGACTACCAAGCTCAGAGATAAGAAAGGATGGCACACCAAAAATAATAAATGTTGAAGCCTGTCCCATTGGTAGGCAGAACTGCTGCAAGGAATTAATTTTGTACATTTCCAGGAAAATAATTAATGGCCTGTCTTTCACTTCTTTTGCAGTCACTTTGAGCTCTGCTGCATCCTGTCCAGGAACTTGAGCACATGATCCCTACTGCAGTGGGAGGAAAGACGAGGGCTGGGGATGACAGCACTGTGAAGATACAAAAGAGAGGAGCCTAATTCAAGCAGCTATTGTAAGCATGAGAGGAACAAGAGCAGAGAGACTTGGAAAAGACAAGGAAATTAAAACTGTAGAAAGAGAGCAGAACCAGGCACTCATGAATCACCTCTTCAGAATGGTAGTAAACAGTTCCAAGTTCCCATACACATCTACAGCTTTTTATAGACTTCTGAGCTTGCTACAACAGTGGCTGCTGTGTGGTGTCCTATGCAGGGTCAGGCACTGTTCATTGGCCTAGTAGTTTCTCGCCTAGATACAAGTGCACATGACTCTTGCAACACAAGTCCCTCTGCAAGTGCTTAAAGAGCTACCAAAAACAGTGCAAATCCCAGCTCCAACACCCTCTCAGCTGTGCTCCACCAAACTACGGACTCTTCAGGTGTCATTACCCAATGATTGTGTGTGCGCTTCGGCACTGCAGAATTATTTCCCGCCACATGGAGCTTTCTTTGCACGGTGCAATTCTCAGCTGCAGAGAGAAAACCCCAGTGCAAAGGAGTTCCCGCCACCCGTATGTAAATTTGTTCCCCATTATTGGCTGTTTCTAAATTATTCCCACTTAGCTATCTACAATTCCCCCGCACTGTGCGCTAAGCGCCTGGCTTGCTAGCCGTATAAGAGGCTTGAGCAGTTTCTGCCCAAGTTGGAGATCTCCGAGAATCTCAGGAGGATCCTGAGAACCCCGATTCCGGGAGAAATCTGAGAGAATTTCGGCAAGGAGTCCACGATTATCTCGTGGATTTCTACATATATCTCGGACCGAATGATGGTTTGATCAGCCATCAAGAATCTCTCCCCATCACCGGACGATCCTTGACATACCCCTGCCCTGCGCGCTCGTTGAGAGTCACAGCATGGACTCTCGTATCAGTTAAGAGAGCTCTCATCATTTGAGTTTTCTTCTTTTCTTCTGTCTACAACTGTAACCAAGCAAGTTTTCCTGCCTGCACCGCGACCATCTACGGTGTAAGTAAAATAATCTTTTATCAACCTCTACGCGTCAGTGCCTAATTCTAGTCCGCTGTGCCGACTTCCCCGGCCCACGTGCCCGGGCTGCTGGCCACAGCCCCTCGGCCCCGACATCAGGCTCTGGAACTGGCCAGTGGCACCATGGAAAATAGTCAGTTACAGCAACTTCAGGGGAGAAAATAATCCCTGCTTGTTCAACCATTGTGCAGCATCATATCAAAGGTACAACAGACTGGAGAGGGATGGCAGGAAATATCGCTACATTTTGGTTTTCCAGACTGTATCTTATAGTTTGTCAAAAACAAAACGAAGATACATGGCTGATGGTCACTAGGGCTGAGTGCAATGTTCTTAAGATTTTTCTTGTATATACTTGTGAGTTTGTTAAAGGTCTCTATTTAAGTCCTTGTTGCTACTAAATTGTATGGAAACAGGGAGTCATAGCAAAAGTTTTTATTGAGGTATAAAAACAGCAGGCAATCCATACAAGCCAGTAAAATGTCTCCCTGTGTCCCATACAAAAATGAATGAGCAAACAGAGAAAGTTACATTTAAACTGCTATTTTATTGGGCAGATAAGTTAGCCCTGGCCTCATGCAATCCAAAAAATTAATCAGGTACAAGAGACCCTATGCAGATGTCTCTTCACCTCAGGTGTTTTAAAAAATAGACACAGCATGCACTTTCTTCTTCTCTTATATACTTTATTTCCCCCTTGACATTTCATTAATGTGGCAGAGCTACAAAACTGCCTTACTGTTCATGCTTTCCAGGTCCTCATCCTGCATGCATGGGTGTGCTGCACATGAAAGGAGCTAGTCAGCAGTCTGTGATGCATTGCCACACACACATATTGGACTGTCCTTTAAGCCAATCTTCTAAAATGTGGCATTAAAGTGTCCAGCTCCAGACCAAATCCTGTTTAGTTTAATAAGTTGCAGGGGAGCTCAAACCCAGGGTGTTGGGTTTCTCATGAAATACACGTGCCACCAGAGGCTGGAGGGGCATGGCAACCGTCCTCAGGCACAGGTGATGGTGGCGGTGGAGGCATGGTGGCAGCAAGCGGAGAGCTTCTGCAGGCAGCCACAGCTGCAGCTGTGGCGGGGGGCAAACGCCAAGCAGTGGTGAGCGACCACCTGCAGACGCACCTGTCAGCAGCGGCCAGTAGCGATTGACAACCGCCTGCAGATGTCGCCAGCAGTGTCGGCGACAAGAGCGGAGAGGGATGGCGAGCGGCAACTGCCCACAGGCGCTGCTAGCAGCAGCAGCGGCAGTCAATCGCAGGGGGTGCACTGCCAATCTCAGGGAGTGCACGTGCACCCCTTATGCATCACCAGTGGCGTTGCTTGTGAAGCATGCACTTTAAAACCCTATTACAAGTTCCATGGTTATTGTTTATGAACTTGCTGTAGGAATATCAATCCATTACTTGTTACAATTATAGCAGCCTTACCTTTTCGGAGCTTGGGTTGAGACCCAGGATCGAGGGTCTGCTGTTTGATTGGTGGAGCCCACC